GGGGACCCCGTCTCCCCAGTCTCCGCCAGTCCTAGTACTTATCCCACTCGAGTTCAGCCGCCCCTCCCCCGCATGGGGGGCTCCGGTTTCAGACCCCGTGACCGCACCACAGCAGCCGCTGCCCGCGGCAGCATGGGGCAGCCCTGGCCTCCGGAGCCTGGCCCTGCATCCGCAGGACCCTCCCAGTCTTCTCGAGTGCAGATTCGGGGGTTCAGGAGGGTATCCAAAACTCAGGGAAGCCCCCTTCTCTCAGTCTGGTTCTCTGCTCCCATCGTGGGGACTGGGACGAGTCGCTTGCCTTCTGTCTCATCCTCCACAGTGCTGGTAGGATGACATTTGCCACCAAGACAAACTTTCATTTTACCGTTTAAATAGGCTAGGGCTCCCTGGCCTCGACTTGGACTCCAAGGTGTAGCCTTGCCCTCGGGGTGTATGCTAAGCCGCCCTTTGGTAGGAGCAGAGGGTCCTGAGTTCCCTGTCAGGCCCTGAAAGTACTCCACTTTTATTCTCAGAGATGGGGATCTGGCAGTGATGTCCAGGGGTGGCCTTGAACTCCGAGGCTGCATGCTCTAACTGCCGTGGCCTCCTGAGTAGATGGGACCCCTGGCTGCCACCACTGATTCAGCTGTGTCACACTTTTTGATGCTAGGCCCTCTGCGGGCTGTTGGATGGGAGGGGGAATAAAATGTCCTACTCACTTGATCTCGGTCTCATGCCCAGTTCCTGTGGGAAGAGACTTTCCCAGTGGCTGGTAACCTGGACAGTGAGTATGTGATTCAAGTGATTCAAGGCCAGCTTGGGCCGAGACTGGTGGTGGCTGTAGGAAATGCTCTGATTCCTTCCTTCCTGCTTTTGTGAAGGAAGTCACCTGGAGGACCTGCCCTGAACATCCCTGGGTCCTTGCTCACAAGCCCTTCTCTCCCCAGAGACCAAACAAGAGGCTCCTGTCACCTCTCCGAGTACCCCTTAGAGGCCACCCATCCCAGCCTGACCAATGTCCACAGCCAGGTGAGCACCCACCCACTCTGGTCAGGCCTAGCCCTCTGGGTGGCCAGCCCCCTACAGAACTTCTGTCATCCCTGTCCCATCTCATCTTCAGCACCCGGGCACACGTGTTCCAGATTGACCCCACTACCAAGCGGAACTGGATCCCCGCCGGCAAGCACGCACTTACTGTGTCCTATTTCTACGATGCAACCAGAAATGTGTACCGAATCATCTGCATCGGGGGTGCCAAGGTCTGAGCAGGGTCCTGGGGGCAGGTGCTGGCCCCATGACGTGCCGCCACAGGGCCAGGCTGCGCGACTTGTGCAATGGGAGCCTTTAGAGGGCTAGACCTCAGTGGGCTCTCACTGGGGGAATTCTAGGCAGGGGATCAGCCCATAGCTATGCCTCTGGGGGATTCTGGGTAGGGATCGTCTACTGAGACAGGTGCCTAGAATTATTTTTTAATCCACTATGTAGTCCAAGGTTGGCCTTAAACTTTAAATACTCCTCCCTCAGGCCGTGAGGCTGGCTGCTCATGGTGGTCTTTATCACTCCTGCTAACCTTGAATCTTGTTTTCCCCACCCCCAGGCCATCATCAACAGCACAGTCACCCCCAACATGACCTTCACCAAAACCTCGCAGAAGTTCGGGCAGTGGGCAGATAGTCGAGCCAACACTGTCTATGGCCTAGGCTTTGCCTCTGAACAGCAGCTGACCCAGGTGGGCGGGGACATGGGCGGTGATTGGCATCTGTGTTCCTTGGGGTAGGTTCACAGATAGCGAGACCCCTTGCGTGCCCTGGGTAGTGGTCATTTGCCACCTTGCTCCAACTTTGCACACTCCTTGTGCCTCTTAGGGGCATCAAATGGAACCCTGGACTGAGCACATCCTCCTGCTCCAGGGGCACCTCTCTCTCCAGCTTCTGTCCACTAGTTTTCAGATTTATTTTTGTTTGTGTTTGTGTATATTTGTGTATGCATGTGACATGAGTGTGCTGATGTCTGCAGAGGTAAGAGGGTGGCACTATGTCCCTGGAGCTTAAGCTACCGACTGAGGACCCGGAGATAGGTGCTGGGGACTGAACGCCCGGAGATAGGTGCTGGGGAGCACTTGTAATTGCTGGGCCATCTCTCCTTAATTTTTTCAATAAAAACGTATTACTTTTTAGTTGCTTTGGGTGTGAATGTGTGTGGGCACACCTGCACAAGGCAGAGCATTCTCAGGGATCAGTTCTCTTCTTGTCTACCATGTGGGTTCTGGGAATCATCATCAGGCCTGGGCAGCGAACACCTTTGCTTTCATCGAAACGTATTGGTTTTGGTTTTGTTTGTTTTGGTTTGGGGTATTTTGACACAGGAGAGCCAAGGCTGTCCTGAAAATCATTCTGGAACCAGGCTGGCCTTGAACTCATTGAGATCTGCCTACTTCTTCCTCACAAGTCCTGGGATTAAAGGTGTGCATCTACACTACCAGGTCATTGAGCCATATTGCAACCCCTAAATTTTTTTTTTTTTTTTTTGAGATAGGATTTCTCTGTGTATTCCTACCTTTTCTGGAACTCTCTCTGTAGGCCAGGCTGCCCTTGAACTCAGAGATCTGTCTGCCTCCCAGTGCTGGCACTAAAAGCATGAGCCACCACGCCCAGCTTTTGATTTTCTGTTTGTTTAATATTTTTATTTTATGTGTATACGTGGTTTGCTTGTATGTATCTTATGTGTATAAGTGGTTTGCTTGTATGTATCTATGTGCATTGTATGTGCTGACACCATGCCTGCAGAGACCAGTGTAGGGCGCTGGGTCCCTGGGAACTCGAGTTCCAGATGGCTGTGAGTCACCGTGTGGGTGTTGGGGACAGAACCTGGGTTCCCTGCAAGAGCAACCAGTGCTCTTAACCCATGGGCCCTTGATCCAGATCCCACCCCCATCACTTTTTTGAGACTAAGTCTTTCATCTTTTGTTGCAGGGGAGGTGGGGGGAGTTTGAGACAGGGTTTCTCTGTGTAGCTTTGTAGACCAGGCTGGCCTCGAACTCAAAGAGATTCACCTGTCCGCCCCCCCCCCACACACACACACACTCCAGAGTGCTGAAATTAAAGGTGTGAGCCACCAATGTCCGACTTTTGAATGATTTTCTTCCTTTATTTTTCTATTTCATTGGTAGTGGGGGGGGGTCGCCTCACTATATGTATGTAGCCCTAGCTGATCTGGAACTTGCTTTATAGACAAAGCTGGTCTCAAATTTACATTATAGCTAAGGCTAATCTTGAATTCCTAACCTTAGGCAGCAGGAGTGCATCTCAGGGTGAGAGAGGCCTCAGGTTAAGAGCATTGGCTGTTGGGCTGGAGAGATGGCTCAGGGGTTAAGAACACTGCCTGCTCTTCCAAAGATCCTGAGTTCAATTCCCAGCAACCACATGGTGGCTCACAACCATCTGTAATGAGATTTGGTGCCGAACACTGTACATATAATAAATAAATAAATAAATAAATAAATAAATAAATAAATAAATCTAAACAAGAAATTCCCTAAAAAAAAAAAAAGCACTGGCTGCTCTTGCACAGGACTGAGTTAGTTCAGCACCCACGTGGGCTCACAACCTTCTGTAACTCCAAGAGGGGGATTTGAGGCCTCTAGTTTCTGAGGGCACTTACATGTATGTACATACAATTAAAAGCAATAAAAATAAATTTTAAAAAGTTTTCTTTTAAAAGTTTTTATTACCTTTGTTTATTATTTCTGTGTTGTGTGTGGGTGCAGGTATGTTATGGAAGTCAAAGGGCTGTCTGTGGGGTCAGTCCCCTCCTGCCATGCAGGTCCCATGGACTGGACTTAGGTCACCAGGCTTGACATCAAGTTTACTGAACCAGGTCACTAGCCTCACATTATTTTTTAAAATTAATTAATTTTCTTTTCTCTTTGAGACAGGGTTTCTCTGTGTAGCTTTGGAGGCTGTCCTGGAACTAGCTCTTGTAGACCAGGCTGGCCTCAAACTCACAGAGACCCACCTGTCTCTGCCTCCTGAGTGCTGGCGTTAAAGGCCAGCACCACCACTGCCAGGCCACAAATTATTTCTGATAGATGAAAATTAATGCCAGGCGTTGGTGGCTCACGCCTTTAACCCCAGCACTCGGGAGGTCAGGCAGATCTCTGTGAGTTCGAGACCAGCCTGGTCTACAAGAGCAAGTTCCAGGACAGCCTCCAAAGCCACAGAGAAACCATGTCTCGAAAAACAAAACAAAAAGAAACAAAGAAAATTAATTTAATTTTATGTGCATTGGTATTTTGTCTGCATTCATGTCTGTGTGAGGGTGTTGGGTCCCGTACAACTGGAGTTACAGTTGGGAGCCACCATGTGGGTGCTAGGAATGAACCCAGGTTCTCTGGAAGAGCAGCCAGTGTTCTTACCTGCTGAGCCATCTCTCCAGCCCCTGTGAAAACTATTTCAAAATGAAAAGAAAATGCATCATTACAACCACAGAACCAGCACTAGATGTCAGACCTCTCTTTAGGAGAAGGTATGCAGGAGGCCACACTCTCACTGCCTGGGGACGCCCTTCCCTGCGTCATGAGATACTGGCAAGTGTGACAGGCAGATGGGCACTCCAAGCCAGCCTGACAGGAACAAGGAGTCCCTTTCTGCGTGGCTCAGAACCTTAATGTCACCTCTGGCACACACCACACACACACCCTTGACACCCAAGATGGTCACAGGGTTGACCTTTTCCAGCCTCCCCTTCAAGGCTCCGGGGTGACAGGGCAGGTGGGGGATAGGGGTGGTGTGACAGGTGGTAGGGGATGCTTTCTGACTGTCCCATGTCTCACTCCCCAGTTTGCTGAGAAGTTTCAGGAGGTGAAGGAAGCTGCCAGGCTGGCTCGGGAGAAATCTCAAGATGGTGGAGAATTCACTAGTCCTGCCCTAGCCCTTGTGTCCCACCAGGTAAGTATTCCTGTACTCCATGTCTGCTGGGCCCCATGCCTACCACTCACGAGACAGCTGGATATGCTTCTGATGTCAGGGTGTCTAAGGCTGGCTGATGGCATTACTGCGCTTATGTGTGTGTGTGCACACATCTGAGGACAATTTGTGGGAGTCAGCTCTCTCCTTTCAGCATGGCATCAGGCTTGGTGACCTACTGAGCCATCTCTCCAGCCCATGCCTCAGTTTTATGTGGGTTGTTTGAAGTCTCTGTGCCCAGGGGAAAACTTTCAAGTGTTCAGAGTCCTGTTTCCGTAGGTTGTTCGGGTCTTGAGGGTTTAGTGAAAACCAAGTCGTGTGTGTGTGTGTGTGTGTGTGGGGGGGGGGTTCCTCTATCCAGGGGTCTGGGGAGCTATGGAGGGTGAGGAGGGGAGACACACACTAGGCTTCACAGGTCAGTTAAGACTCCCTGATCTCAATCAATACCCCAGTGACCCCAGTCCTAAACTCAATTAGCCTTAGCTCCTACTGCGTCTTGACTAAGGCAAGTGCTCACCTTGACCCAGTCCTGGCTCCCATACACAGGTTCCCCCAAGCCCCTTGGTCAGCACCAATGGTCCGGGAGAGGAGAAGCTGTTCCGCAGCCAGAGTGCTGATGCCCCTGGACCTACCGAGCGGGAGCGGTTGAAGAAGATGCTGTCAGAAGGGTGAGGGGTAGGGCAGGTGCTGCTTGATGGGCACAGCAGAAGCCTGAGGGGTGTATTGTGACTAGGACTGAGCTTTAGGGTGGTGGGAGTAGTGTTTCTGGGTGCAGGGCCTTGGCTGGCACCTTATAAGGGATTGTGCCAAGGAATCCCCAGGACGGGTCTTTAGGATGCAGAGGACGTGGTGTTGCTGGGGTCAGGGGTGTGACTAAGGGGTGTAGGATGGGGCTTTGGAAGGCCGTGGTCATTTTGGAGCAAGTCTTGTGTGGGTGTGGACTGCAGCAGCAGCAGCTGGCAGGGTGTGGGGTAGGAACCTGGGCTGCAGACTTGGGAAAGGAGGAGGCAATTGGTTTCTGCCTCATCTGGAGAGGAGGCTGCTCCTCCAGCATCACTGGCACCCATTCCATGGCTCTCACGTGCAATCTGGGAGGGGCAGGGATAGGTTCCCAAAATTTCTGGAGGTAGGGTCTCCCTGTGTAGCCCACTCTGGCCTGGAACTCATTATGTAGCCTAGACTGGCATCGAACTTAAGGGTACCCTCCTGTCTCAGCTCCACATGCATGGTCCCCACTCCCTAGCTTAGTGTTGTTTTGACCCTAATCCTAGCCCAGGAGGCTCTCCACCAGATGCCACCTGCGCTGACCATGCACGCCCCCAGCCCGGTGTCTTCCCCACAGCTCCGTGGGCGAGGTCCAGTGGGAGGCTGAGTTCTTTGCGCTGCAGGACAGCAACCAGAGGCTGGCAGGGGCCCTTCGCGAGGCCAACGCGGCTGCCTCACAATGGAGGCAGCAGCTAGAGGCCCAACGGGCAGAGGCCGAACGCCTGCAGCAGCGGGTGAGGATCCCCCACCCCCTCACATCCCTTCTGCCCTGTCAGTCTCCAGAGTTATCATTTCTTGCTGTAAGATGACTCGAGACCCTAAGAGCCTCCCATGGGTCATCAGGCCCTCCATGTCACAGAGGGTGACATGCCTGAACTGCCTGTGTATGTACAGGTGGCAGAGCTGGAGGCCCAGGCTGCTGCAGAGCCAGTCCTGGTGGGTGAGAAGGAGGCAGCCAGCCAGTCTGTGGAGCAACTGGAGGCTAGGGTGCAGACCAAGGACCAGGTAAGCCAGGGGCAAGCTCTGGGGTCTTGCCCTCATCCATGTGTCTTAGGGAATCCAGGGCCTTTCTGAGCAGACCTGTGACCTTTTTTCTCTAGGAGATCCAGACTTTGAAGAATCAGAGCTCAGGGACAAGAGAAGCGCCTGACACCACTGAGCGGGAGGAGACACAGCAGAAGGTTCAGGTTGGCTGTGGCCCCTGAGGTAGAATGGGAGTAACTACCCAAAGCTGTGAACCCTTAAAGAGACCAGCCTCAATCCTACTCTCACCACACTTGGGCAGTCTGAGACCCAGGGGAGTTTTCAGAGAAAGTACTTGGAGCGTCCGGTGGAGATTCCTGGGGAGAAATGACCCTGTTGTCCTTGGGGGTGAGTGCAGCTTGTCCAATTGTTGAGGACAGGACCCCAGAATTGGTGGCCTACCTGGGGGACAATATTGTATTTCCAGTGAGGAGGTTGTTTGCAGAGTGTGCACATACAGGTGCTCCCCTGTGGATTTGTGTGCATGCTCATGAGGCGGCCAGAGGCTGGAGCCCAGTGGCTTCAATTTTGCCCCACCTCATCCTTTGAGACAATCATCTCACTGAGCATGGAGCTCAGATTGTCCAGGCTGGGTGCTGAGGGTCTGTTCTCCCACCCTTGGGGTTACAGCAGCTGGCTGCACCTGGAGCCCAGGATTTCACATGGAGGAGGGACTGGAATTCAGCACTTTATTATTTCTTTAATTATAAACTACTCATTTTGTTAAAAATGTTTCTATGTCTTTGGTATTTTTCCTGAGGTCATGAGGTCAGTTCTCTGCTTCCACCACGTGGGTACCGGGGATGAAACCTTCATCTTGGGTCTTTTTGTCTTTGATACTGTGTTTCTCTCAGAGATCCACCTGGGATTAAAGGTGTGCCCCACCATGTTCCGCCCAGGTGTATCTGGTTTTAAGATTTAGTTCTATGTATGGGTTTGTATACTCTGAAGATTCCCTTAGAGGCCAGAGAGTTATGTGTGGTTCAGTGGCTTCCCATGCGTGCTAGGAAGGTCCCCAGAAGTTCATACTCTGAAACACTGAACCAAACAGCCCTTCATGTTGCTTTTAGACACAGGGTGTTGTTACTGAGCTGGGCTGGGTAAGGCTTAGGCCAGCCAGTCTCCCGAGTGCTGGGATCACAAGTGCTTGCCAACCACTCTGCTCAGCTTTCTATGTGGCTGTTGGTCACCTCACACTTTTCAGACTTTACTGTTGTCATCTTCCAGCCTGTGGGGGCCACACAGCAGGGCAGGCAACCAGAAGCTCCACAGGTTATCTCACCCCGCATCCCTTTTTCCCCCTGTAGGATCTGGAGACTCGGAATGCGGAGTTGGAGCAGCAGCTGCGAACCATGGAATGCAGCCTGGAGGAGGCGCGGGCCGAGCGGGAGCGTGCACGGGTGGAAGTGGGCAGGGCCGCGCAGCTGCTGGATGTGCGGCTGTTCGAGCTGAGTGAGTTGCGTGAGGGCCTGGCACGCCTGGCAGAGGCCGCACCATAGTTGGCCCAGGTGGGTCTGTGGCATCCCAGGTGCCCTGGCTGGGGACCACCTCTGCCTCTGAGCTTTGCACTGTGTAGAGTTTTCTAGAATCCATGGGTGGCGCTGATACCCAGATTACACTTCTACGTGGCTGTACAAGCACATGATATTGCTGGCACCTGTTGCTGGCCGCTGCTGCCCTGCACCCCAGGGATGTGAGGAAGGGCCACAGCAGTCATCCCCACAGGGCAACAGAGAGAGGCTCTGATAACCAGAGACCCGCAGCCCTGCACCCATCCCGCCCCATTCTCAAGTCGGACTGACATGTTCAGAGTGTTTACTAAGATCCTCTGCAGCCCACCCAGGGGACTAGCAGCAACAGGTTCACACTCAGGTCTGCGCCTCGGCCTGGGTCTGTGCTGGAGGCCGAGGTCTGGGAGGACGAGCCCCCTGGCCCGCACTCCCCAGTTTCTGTCGACGAAGGGTCTGCCCCACCTTCTCCTTGAAGCGCTTGTTCTGTTGCTTGATCTTGGCCAGCTCCGCCTTGCGCTTGGCCTCCAGGTCGGGGTCCTGAGGAAGGAAGCCTGGCTGAGATGGGAGCCTGAGGCTTCCCAGGGAAAGGCTCCATCCCCAAGCCCAGGCCACCCTACTGGCCACATCCCCATGCCTGGCCCCCTCCCTGCCCTCTGTCCATACCTTCCCCTCCAGGATCAGCTGCTTCCGCTTGTTGATCTCCTTCTTTTCATCAAAATGGGAAGCCTCCAGTTTCTAGCCGGGAAGGCACGGGTCAGGGCAGGTCTGCAGGGAGCCCTGCTTCACAACCCGCCCTGTGCACACCCCAGTGGCCACACTCACGATCTCGCACTCTCTGCGAACCACGTTGACCTGCGTGAGGATGTTCAGGACCTCGGCCTCCTCCACCACCAGTTCCTCCAGCTGTTTCTCTGCGGGGCAGGGTGGGAGAGCAAGACCAGCAGCACTGAGTTGAGCTGTGAGTGCGACTGGCTCTCTGCACCCCCAGTTCTGGATGTCTGGTCCCCATATTTGGACCAATAACATTTAAAAGAAGCAAAATTGTGCCAAACTTGGTGGCACATGCCTGTCACAGCATTGTGGGAGAGGAGGCAGGGGGTTCACTGTGAGTCCCAGGCCAGCTCCCTAGAGCAAGGATTTGTCTCAAATAAATGAATGAATAAATGGAATGAACTGAGATGCAGGTGCCTGTGATCCCAGGACTTCTAGGCCACTGCAGCCTAAACCCAGAGAGCTCAGGGAAGTGTGCTGCAGGGTTCAGATGGTTGTCTCAGTGGCTGTTAAGATGTGGAGAGGGCTCAAGTCCTGGCCCACCTCCCTCCCACAGACGCACCTTCAGCAGGCATTGTTGTAGTGTTGGCTGGGTACCATTAACAGAGCACTCTGCACTGTGTAAAGTTCTAAGGTGGCCCAGGCAGGGAGGCCACCCACAGACCCTACCCACTTACTGATCTGCTCCTCGACAGCATGCAAAAGGTGGATGTCATACTGTGTCACCAGTGTGATGGCCTGTCCCTGCCGCCCTGTGGGGACATACATGTTATAGGACTTGGGCCCCACCAAGGGGCTCATCCCAGCTGGTTGGCTCCAAGATTCTCAGAGGCTCAGAACAAGAACTTGGTAGGAAGGGACCAGTTCAGAGGACTAGGGCTCCACCCAGGGTAGGGTCTGTATGTGGGAGCTGCAGGGCAATGGGAGACAACTCTGCTAAGCTGGCCTCCTGTGAGGCTTTCCCTTTTTAGCTAGGCTGCCGGGAAGCCAGGCCTTAGGCCTGCTCTGCTGTCCCCTCTCCAGTGGTGACCAAGCTGATGCACACCTGACAGGCTGCTCAGAATTCCCTAAGGCCACAGGGTTACAGCATGGGGAAATAGCAAAGCAGATGTCTCCCTGGCCCCTGGGTCACACCCCAGTGAGATGCCAGGCTGGAGCACAGAGGGAAGGTTGGGACTGAGCCTCGAGGTCTGTCTCATGACAGACCTGAGCTCCCCAGTGTCTCTCGCCACAGCTAGAACCTCACATAGCCGGCCGGCTCTGCTCACCTGCACGGGCTGTTCGACCAACTCGGTGGATGTAGATCTTGGGGAGCCCGGGGGTGTTGTGGTTGATGACAACTTGCACAGTGGGGATGTCCAGGCCCCTGGAGGTATGAATCACTCAGCTGGGGAATCCAAGGGGGAGACCAAGGCTGACACTCAGCACTCCCCATGTGCAGCCCAGCTTCCTGTCCTCATGGGGTCCAGGCCACTGGAGGACAGGCAGGCTGCACTGGGCCTACTCACCTTGAGGCCACATCAGTGGCAATAAGAATCCGGTACACACTGGACTTGAACTTGGCCAGGGCTGCAAAGCGCTCTTTCTGTGCCACAGGTGGGGGAGAGGTTTGTGAGCAGATGGAGGGTGCTAGGACAGGCAGAGACCAGGGAGGAGGTAGTCCCAAAGCCAAATGGGACAACAGAGTGACACGGGGAGAGGGTGGGACATCACTTAGCTGTGATATCTTTTTTTTTTTTTAAATAAAGACAGGGCTGAACTGGGCAGTGGTGGTGCATTCCCAGGACTCGGGAAGCAGAGGTAGGCAGCCTGGTTTACAAAGCTACACAGAGAAACCCTGTCTCGAAAAATCAAAGACAGGGTCACACCGGGTGTGGTGGTGCACACCTTTAATTCCAGCATTTAGGAGGCAGAGCCAGGAGGATCTCTGAGACCAGCCTGGTCTAAATGGAGAGTCCCAAGACAGACAGGTACTACATAGAGAGACCCTGTCTCAGAAACAAAAACCAAAAACAAAACACAGGGTCTCCATTAGCCTAAGATGGCTTTGATTTTCTGATTTCCTGCTCCTCCCCACCTCCAGAGTGCTGGGAGTCCAGGTATACATGTAACAGGCATATAAACCCAGGGTCTCACACATGCTAGACAGCACTCTTCCAACTGAACCCCATGCCCAGCCTCTGGTGACCTGCAAGACTGGAGAGGCTGTGCCGTGCCCATCACCTGCTTCATCATGGAGTGCAGTGCCACCGTGGGGAAGCTCAACTTCCGCAGCATCATACAAAGGACTTGACAGGTCCTGGTGGGAAAGGGATGGTTGTGGTGTCCCTGTCCCAACCCACTGAGACATCACACAGGTGGCCTAGGGGTCGGAGAAACACTAGGTCTGCTGCCTGCCTGCCGTGCTCTCAAAGCTGGAACCAACAAGGACCAGCCCCAACCGTGGCGCTGACTCCCAGAATAGTGCTCTCAGGCTGGTCCCTGCTGAGCTTGACGGCCACTCAGCCCCACTCCACAAAAAGACACAGAAGCCCATCTCTGCCCTTCTGACTCAAGCTGACAAAGCCAACAGCTATTTTGAGATTTTTGTTTTGTTTGAGTCAAGGGCTCACTGTGTAGCTCAGGCTGGCCTGGAACTCACAGATCTGCATGCCTCCTGGGTGTTAGAATAACACACCAGCACTAGCAGGCCAGGCCTGGTCTAGCTTCACCTTCACATGAGGGGAGCTTCTCACTCACTTGCAGGTGTTGGTGAAGATGATGATGGAGCAGTCCTCCAGCTGGTTTTGGAAGGTCTGGACCAAGTGCACCAGGTAGGCATCCTTCACCTTCTCCGGCACCAGCAGGTAGCGCTGGTCAAGCTGCTCCACTGTCCGAACCCTGGAGGTGGAAGGTCGGAGAAACACAGCCTAAGTTACCCCTTCTGTCTGACTCTCTGGTCTGACCCTCACCACAGCTTTAGGACTCACGGGGCCTGAGCCTCCCAGAAGAAGGGCTGGTTGGTGGCCAGGCCCTGCAGCTCTTTGAGTGTGTCGGTCAGCGTGGCACTGAACAGCAGCGTCTGCCTGCGCACTGGAATGGCTGCCAGGATGGTCTCCAGGTCTGCAGTGAAATCGGTGCAACCTTGCTCCAGCAATCGGTCGGCCTCATCCATCACCTGGATCAGAGGGGTGGGAGACAGGGCTGGACCAGTGCAAGAGCTGCCCTAAGCCCAGCACACCTGCTTTTCAAGGACTGTGTGCAATGTGCTCCAGAGCACTGTCCCAGCGTTAGGCCATGTCACTACTCTGCAGGCCCTCTTGTCTCTACTGAGCTTTGTGTTTGTTTGAGGCAGGATCTCCATGTGTAGCTCTGGCTGTCCTGGAACTTACTATGTAGACCTGGCTGGCCTCTAACTCATAGAGACCCTTCTGCCACCACCTCCCGAGTATTGGGATACAATAGGTAAGTGCCAACATGCCCAGGTGGCCCTTGTCTTTATTTCTAGCCCTTTGCCCAGTGATCTGTGAAACCAGTGTCAGGAATGAATGCCAGCAGAGCACAGTGGCCCACATTTAAACAGAGTTCCAGCATAGCTGGGGCTACAGAGAGAGACCCTCCTCAAACAAAAGCAGAGAGCAAGGGAAAGGAGAGAAGAAAGGATGGATACTGCATGTTTCACAGTGGTTTTCGGCTCCAGGACCGAGGGGGAGCATCACTGGCTTACCAGGAATCGGATCTTTTTCATGTTCAAAGTGTTGGAGCTGCGCAGGTGGTCAGCCAGGCGCCCAGGAGTGGCGATCACTACGTGTGGCTTCCGAGAGAGCTCCAGTGCCTGTGCCACCATGTCTGGAGTAGAGGGAGAGGTGAGGCTGGGTAGGTGGGACCAGCAGGGCCCCCATGACCCACCCCAGCCTCTCAGCCCCGATTACCCATGCCGCCAACGATAATGCAGTCCTTCAGGCCCAGGGGCTTTCCCAGCACCCGGAACTGCTCAGCAATCTGGTAGGCCAGCTCCCTGTGGATGAAAAGGACCAGCTGGGTCAGTGTGTTGTGGGATTTTATTCAGTTTATCCAATAACTTTTGGGACAGGAAACAAGTCATGCTTTGGGGCTTGCCTGCCTAAAAGTGGAAGGACAGGGTTGTGCACGCTCTTGCTCATGAGCTTTCTTGGGCAGTGGCTGTAGATCAGATTGCAGTCCCAGTGCTTTTGGGCAGAAGCCGAGGGCTCTCTACCTTTCTATTGTAAGTGTTCCCCAAATAAATATTTGATATTCTTTTATTTCGGGCTTTGTGAACTCCTTTATTCTGCCCACATCAGTGAGCACCTGTACCCACCTCCCATCCTTTCTCCTTCTGGTCTCCACCTCCATAATGTGGATGGCCTCCTCAAAATCAATTCTAGGGGGATTGGCAGCATGGCTCAGCAGGCAAGATACAAGCTAACATCCCAAGTCCCATCCCTAGGAACCACATGGTGGAGGATAAGAACTAATTCCTGCAGGTGGTCCTCTGACCTCCATATGAACACATGGCACGCACATACAAACATAAGTCAACATATAAGGGCAGACTGTTCTGCTCAAGCTTGAGGACCCGAGTTCAGATCAGCAGCATCCTTGTAAAAGCTCAGCATGCAGCCATACCTCTCACCTCAGTGTGGGTGAGGAAGAACAATGAGACACGAGGATGGCTGGGGCTTGCTGGGTTAATGAGCCCTAGTTTCAGTGAGAGAGGCCCTGTCTCAAAAAAAAAAAAAAAAGATGGGGTTGGGGACAAGGCTCAGTAGTTAAGGGCAATGGCTGTTCTTCCAGAGGCCCTGAGTTTAATTCCCAGCACTCATATGGTGGCTCACAACTGTCTATAGTGGGATTTGATGCCCTCTTCTAGTGTACAAAGCACAAAAACCAATAAATCTTTGGCTGGATATAGTGGCACACACCTTTAATCCCAGCACTTGTGAGGCAGAGGTGGGAGGGTCTCTTGTGAGTTCAGTGTCAGCCTGGTCTACACAGTGAGTTCTAAGACAGCCAGAGTTACATAGTAAGACCCTGTGGGGGTGGAGGTGGAAAGGAGTTCAAAAGATGATCCAATGGTTTGGAGCAAGTTACTGCTCTTGAAGAGGACTTGAGTTCCTAGTACTCTCATTAGGCAGCTTACAGCAGCATGTAATTCCAGGGGATCTGACACCCTCTGCTGACCACATGAATACTACACTCACATGCACATACCCACATAGAGACATAGCTATCATTAAAAAGAAATCTTTTTTTTTTTAAAGCAAATAAGAAAACAAAAAAAAAAAAACAAAAAAAAAAAAAGGCTGGGCAGTGGTGGCTCATGCCTTTAATCCCAGTACCTGGGAGGCAGCAACCAGCCTGGTCTACAGAGTGAGTTCCAGGACTGCCAAGGCTACACAGAGAAACCCTGTTTCAAAAAACAAAACAACAAAAAACAAAACCAAAAAAAGCAAATAAGGTAGAGGACAATTAAGGAACATACCTGAATTACTCTCTGGCCTCTAAACAGCCTACACACACATGCACCCACATACCCAAGCTAACCTTTGGTGTGACACTTGAGAGCCATATGCAAGGTGCTCTAATAATGCCACAGCGTCCTTTCTGTACCCTGGCCCTCTCAACCTCTGTCCACAAGAACCTACATATCTACAATATCTTTTAGTGGGCGTGTGTGCAGTGGTGCTTCTGTGGTTGGTCAGAGGCCAATCTACTCAGTCAGTTCTCTCCTTCCACCATGTGTGTGTCCCCGGGATTATACACAAACACCTTTCCCTACTAAGCAATCTTGCTGGCCCAAGAATATCTTTTTGTTTCCCTCACTGTGAGACTGCTGGTTAAAACACATCGCTATTTTAATGACACATATGTCTCTGTGTGGATGTATGCAGGTGGCCCTTCCCCAAGCACCGGGAACCTTCCACACCATGAGTGCTGCTTGATTCAGCATCCCTACAAGAAGGAGAGATTCTTACGCCATTTCACACAAATGTTGTGGGATATTTGTACACCATGTGAAGATATATTGCTGTGATTGGTGTAATAAAAAGCTGAACAGCCAACAGCTAAGCAGTAAGTATAGGCGGGATTTCTGGGGAGAGAAAGGAAGAGGAGGATCCAGGAGAAGCCAGGAGACACAGAGAGGAAACAGGAGGTGCGAGATGGAAGAGAGGTAATGCTGCGTGATAGAACATAAATGGTACAAATGGGTTAACGTAAGTTAAGAGCTGGAACAAGCCTAAGCTACAGGCTGAGCTTTCAGAATAAGCCTCTGTTATTATTTGGGAACTGGCTGGAGGGACAGAAAGACTCGTTACAAGGAAAGGGTAGCTCAAGGTCAGGGCACTTGAATTAAGAAAACATAGTCAGATCAGTGCTGTATGCTCACCTGGTGGGTGTCAGGACCAGGCAGAAGATGCCGTATGGGTCCTCAGACAGCTTCTGCAGGATGGGAAGTACAAAGGCAGCTGTCTTGCCACTTCCTGTCTTTGCACAGCCCAAACAATCCCGACCTGGGCAGATGGCAAAGCAGTTATCAACATGAAGCAAGGGCCACAATTGGTCCGTTGGGCATTCACTCATTGTAAGAAACAGACGGTTATGGTCTCTTTTCAATATGAGGTGTGCTTAGAATTCATCAAAAGCTGGGCTGGAGAGATGACTCAGGTTAAGAGCACTGTCTCCTCTCCCAGGGGTCCTGAGTTCAACTCCCAGCAACCACATGGTTGCTCCCAACCATCTGTATTGAGATCTGGTCCCCTCTTCTGGCCTGCAGGCATACATGCAGACAGAATTCATCAAAAGTGCAGATGAACAGGAGGTGGTGGGCCCCTCTTTCCCCTAGTTGGTGGCTGATTGCCTTAGAATTCTAAGAGATGGCCGGGCGCTGGTGGCACACGCCTTTAATCCCAGCACTCGGGAGGCAGAGGCAGGGGGATCTCTGTGAGTTCCAGGCCAGCCTGGTCTCCAGAGCGAGTGCCAGGATAGGCTCCAAAGCTACACAGAGAAACCAAGTCTCAAAGGGGAAAAAAAAAGAATTATAAGGGATGGAGAATTACAGGTGTCTACTGTGACTGAACCCATGGGCAAAAAAAGGGGGGCAGCCTCAAACTCCAAATTATTCGTCTGGCGGCTTGGGGGTCCTAAGCCAATGGAATGGGGAATCTGGGAAGGGGACAAGTTCTGCTGGTCTATGGAAGGCTTCAAAAATTTGGTAAAGATGAGCACACCAGGCATTTTTGACTTTTCCCTATGCTGGCACCCTTTCTGCGGAATGGAATATTAAAAACTGTTTCACTTTCATTAGTTTCTTGAATTTGTTACTGTCTAATTTCCAATAATTATTATGATTGCTTCTTTGAAACAAGGTTTCAAGTAGCCCAGGCTGGTCTTGAACTTGCTACATAGCTGAGGACTACCCGGAACTCTAGATCTTTCTGCTTCCACTGGCTCAGTATCGGGGAGACTGGTTCCAAGGCTCTCTCTGAAATGGCAAAAGTGAACAGGGACGAAGAGCATTGCCACGAACCCGGAGCCCTGAGTTTGACGGCTCCCGTTTCTTTTAGTAAGCCCGAAAGACCGCCGGTGGCCTGGGTTAATTCACCAAACTCCCCCTATGCTTGGGCACTACGGAAACTCCGGGAGTGCCACAGCCTATCTGACAGTGAGTCAGTCGCAGCCTAAACGTCAGTGCTGGGCGTCCCCGACACAACCAAGGCCGACCTGGCTGGTGGACAAAGAACGGCACGGGAGGAGAGGAGGGCACTCACCCTGCAGAATGGCTGGGATGCAACCGAGCTGCACCGGCGTGGGCTGCTTCAGCCCCAGCTGCCGACATTGTTCCACGAGCCACGATGAGAGCCCGAGCTCAGCGAACCCCGCCATGCCCGAGACCGGCGCCGAGAAGTGAAGCCTATTTCCGGCGCGCTGTTAGCGAACGTCACGCTCACGCCCCTCAGCCAATCCCAGCCTGAACCGCCTTACTGACGTTTTCTGCTTGAAGCCTTCTCGCTGGCTGACGGGATTTGAACTACAGTTCCCAGGAGTCTTTGCCTCACGCGGCTTCAGTTTCCATACCGCCGATTGGTTCGGTACAACTCTTCCCCACAATTCCTGGCGGCGGGGCCCTGCTTCCGGCCTACGTGTCTCCCAGGAAGAGCACTGTATACTGGCATAGCGACATGGCGCCTCCGGCTCCCGGCGCGGCCTCTGGCGGCTCCGGAGAGGTAGACGAGCTGTTCGATGTGAAGAACGCTTTCTACATCGGCAGCTACCAGCAGTGCATCAACGAGGCGCAGCGAGTGAAGGTGGGCGGCGGGCGGGGATGCTTCCGGCTCCGGGCGGACGCGGTTTCTCTTGCAGCGGAGGCTTGTTGTGAACTTACTGAGTAGCGGATGCCGACTTGAAATCCTACTCCCTCGGTCTCCACCTCTCCAGGGCTGGGATGACAGGCGTGCACCTCTTCTCCCAGTTTGCAGATTCTCTTGGTTGATTGACAGGGCTTCACTTCGTAGCCTGGGCTGACCTGAAGTCAGGGTCCTGGTGAGGTGACCGGTGTGGCCGCTGCCTCCTTCTTAAAGCCGCTTACTGTTTCCTTTTGCTCCCCCCCACACTTTTTTTTTTGAGACACGGTTTATTTTTGTTTAGGTCTAGCTGTCCTGGAACTCTGTAGACCAGGCTGGCCTCGAACTCAAAAGAGATCCGCCTGCCTCTGCTTCCCGAGGGTTGAAATTAAAGGTGTGTGCCACCTCTGCCCGCCTTTTTTATGTCTAAAGCCAGGTACACCGTCTATCCCAGCACTCAGGGGGTAGAGGCAGGTGGGTCTCTGAGTTCAGGGCCAGCTTGGGAAGTTCTAGGCCAGTCAGAGGTAATATTGCAACCTTAACTTAAGCAATAATAGGCCAGGTATGGTAGCACACACCTTTGACCCCAATACTTGGGAGACAGAGGCAGGCTGATCTCTGAGTTTGAGGCCAGCCTAGTCTACATAGTGAGTTCCAAGACAGTCAGGGGTATACAGAAAAACCTGTCTTGAACCCCCCCCCAAGAAAAGAAGTATAGTCATAAAAGGAAGAGGGTCTCCTTTAACCAGGGCTGTCCTCAAGCTTCCCATCTTGCTGAACACTGAATTTCCTAATGCTCCTGCCTCCACTCCCGAGTGCTGGGATCATAGTTGCGCACAGCCACACCCAGTTACTCACTACGTGGATGGAAACCACAGCATTGAGGCAAGTGCTCCACCAATTGAGTCCCAGTCCTGACTTTTTTTTTTTTTTTTTTTTTTTTTTTTTTTTTTTTTTTTGGGTATTTTTGAGACATGGTTTCTCTGTGGCTTTGGAGGCTGTCCCGGAACTAGCTCTTGTAGATCAGGCTGGTCTCAAACTCACAGAGATCCATCTGCCTCTGCCTCCCCAGTGCTGGGTTTAAAGGCGTGCGCCACCACTGCCTGACCTGACTTTATTTTATTTTTAAAACAATCAACAGTTTTGTTTCAACCTCCCAGATGCAAGGATGACAGGCCTGTGTCACCACGCCTGGCTTGCAAGACAGAAGACAACAGCATTGTCAACAGCTGGGCTGCTGTTAACGATGTCACCCAGTCACATATTTCCTCACACTGCACTCCTGCTGGGCTCCATGGGAGATGGAGTTGGCAGAACACCAAGCTTTCTAGGCACATTAGCCTTGGCAACAGAGATAGAGCAGGCAATCAGAAAATGACAGGAGGATGAGTTGTAGAAAGTGTGGGTCTTAGACTTGGCAGTTTTGAATGTGAAAATAGCCTGGCATTCCAGGTTCAGGAGAGTGAGGGGCTGGGGCCTTGGCTCCGGTAGAGTGCTTGCAGCATTCTTCTCTCTGTGGCTTTGGAGGCTGTCCTGGAACTCGCTCTTGTAGACCCGGCTGGTCTAGAACTAACAGAGCTCCGCCTGCCTCTGCCTCCCGAGTGTTGGGGTTAAGGCGTGCGCCACCACCACCCGACTGCAGTAATACTTCTTACCTAGCTAATAATCGGAGTTGGTAGACTTCACCTTGTTCACATTCTCCACTTCCTGGCTTTCCCAGTGATTATGCATTCCTAAGCTTCTAGAAGATTCTTTCTAGTCCCTGGCTTTCCTTCCATCTCAGAACAGCAGATGTGGGGTCCTTTCATCTTTAGAAGTCCTGTGTTTCCTGTCACTTTCCTCTGTGTCTCTGCTCTTTAGGACTTGTGTGGTTAAGTTCCTGATTCTGGACTCTGAACTCTAGGAATGTGGGACAATAAATGTTTAGTATGTGAAGTCAACAGTCACTGGCCCAGCAGGCCACCTCAGCAACTCTCTGAATGGGGACCTCAGGGTGTCTTCAGATACAGGTGGCCCCTCACACATCTGCTCCTTCCTAGCGAGGAGGCACTAGGGTTGTAGGTGGCTCGGGGCAGGGCCTCTCCCTGCCTCAGCTTCAGGCCCTATGAGGGTTGCTAGTTGCTAGACTGCTGGGCACTGTGGTGACCAGTTCCCCTCAGGGTGTGTGGTGTCAGCTACTCCAGAGGCTGAGGCAGGAGGATCAATAGGAGCCATCCTGGGCTGTCTGTCTAAAATAAATGTATGTATCCACTTACTACAGAGTGGTCTGGCCTGTGTGCCAAACACTTCAGTGGGTCTAGTCTTTCGCCTCTGTCTTTGTTTCTGTCTGTCTGTCTGTCTCTCTTCCTCCGTTTCTTGAAATGCTGGGATAGAACCCAAGACCTGTAAATGCTCGACATCTCTGCTGTCTTGTAGCTCCTCAGCCCATGCCTTTGGGGTTCATTCAGCCACTCCCTTGCTGCAAAACATACAGGCTTCAGCTTCAGGAAAGCCAGCCACTCTCAGTTCCCTCCCTTCTTTCAAAGCCCCGTCTCCCTTACAGGCTCTACAGGCTTTGAGAGATGATGGGAAGGCCTTGACTTTATTCCCAGCAAATTCCCTCACTATGTTTAGAGTCCAGGGCGACCTCAAGCTAATTGAAATACTCCTGCCTCAGTCTCCTGGGTGCTGGAACCCCAGGCATGGTGATGCACACCTGTCATCCCAGCTGCAGGAGGCAGAATCAGGAAGATACAATGTTCAAGGTTGTTCTGGGCTACATAGTAAGTTTGAGGCCAATCTGGTTTACATGAAACCCAAAAAACTCCCCAAATGATAAAATCAAAGCCTTGTACCCAGAGGGGTTGGGCCATGCAGTGTGGCTGGTGTGACTAGCAGTGCTACACGCTGTGATACCTGGGACAGTGGTATAGCCTCTAGCTCGCATTGGTTGACCGTGTGCCCTCTGTGGAGACTTCCTTGGGGCTTCTGGGTCTCCTGGGTTCCAGCTGAGACCCAGAGCTAGTTAGACTGGATACCCTGCCTTACTCTGCTCATCTCCCCACAGCTGTCCAGTCCCGACAGGGAAGTGGAGAGGGATGTCTTTCTGTATAGAGCATACATCGCACAGGTTAGTATGGGGAGGGGGGCACAGAGCCCTCTGCAGGGAGCTGTGGGCAGCCAGGTGGGGGCTGTGTCCCAGGTTCCTCATCAGGAGGAAGGGTGGGTATGTGTGGTCAGAAGACAGCTTGCTGCACTCCGTCTTTCCTTCCATTGTGTGGTCCTGAGAATCGTACTCCCATCATTAACAGTCCTCTCACATAGGGCAGGCTGGCCTTGCACTCACTATGTAACCCAGGGTAACCTTAGCCCTCCTCCCTCTACCTCCCCTGTGCCTGGCTTCATCATTACCCACATGAGGTTTATTTTTCACATTCAAAAAGCAACCCCAAGCGGTATAGGGTGGCACAGGCCTGTCACCCCAGTGCTTTGGAGACAGAGGCAGGAGGAGCTCAGGTTTGAGGGTAGCCTTGGCTACATAGCAAGACCCTGACCTCTGAAAAGCTCTTCTTCACTCTGGCCCAGGGTGGGGCTCAGGTGCCCAGGAGTAGTATTTGACATACAGAAATCCCCCGGCCTCAGCACATCATCTGGCCACCAGCCCCATCCTATCCCACACTCCTCTGTGTGTGTCAGAGAAAAGCCAGGTGTGACTCTAGCGCTTGGAAGACTGAAGCAGGGGAATTTCTGCAAGTTTGAGAGCATCCTGGGTAAGAAAGGGACAGGGTGGCTCCAGAAGTAGCCATAGGTGTCAGGAGGAGGCCTTCCAGGTGAGGGAAAAGTGAGACACCCTGCTGTCCCCACATTGCCAACATCAGGTTCCCAGCTGCAGCTGGGTGTGACAGGCGAAGGCACACCTGGCAATCTTGCTGCCTGCTGCTGGAGCAGGTGACGCTGCTGGCGTGGGCAATGTGTTGGTAGTGCTGGTGGCGGATGGGGAGGACTGATGTGCACCTGTGACCATAGAGGAAGTATGGTGTGGTCCTGGACGAGATCAAGCCCTCCTCGGCCCCAGAGCTCCAGGCTGTGCGCATGTTTGCTGACTACCTTGCCACTGAGAACCGGAGGTAAGGCCTGGCTAGGGCAGGTGCCTGGGCCCAGATAGCCAGGACCAGGGTCTACTCCACCAGCAGAGGGAGGGTGGGGTGTCCTCTCTTCTACCCCTTCACTTCCTGGGGTCTCCATTTCCCCCATCTGTCAGTAGAGGTAGTGACAGATCTGCTGCACAGTACTTTGCAGGGCTAGGGGCGAGGCTGTGTGTTGAGTGTGCTCAGCCTATATGTGGCCTTGGCTTCCATTCCTAGCATAGAAAAGGGTATGGGTGCTTTGGGAACAGTTCACCAAGGCCTGTCCCAGATCCTCAGTCCCCACCCATGAGGGGACGCAAGAACACTGTCCCTTCCTAGCAGCCTGGCTGGGCCCCCCCGGGTTCAGTCTGTCCTGCCTGCTTTACCGGCACCCAGGCCTACCCATGCTCTGCACATGCCCTGGCCCAGAGCCTTTGAGATTCCCACCCCCAGAGGCTGACATGCTCTGATCCGTGCC